TTGAACTCAGAGGGATCCATCTGCCTTTTTCTCCTGAATGCTGGGGAGGCATTTTGAGGAAAAAAGAAAAAAAAACACTTGAAAGTTTTGTACATCTACCTAAAATTATTATCTGAAATGGAGATAACTTGAAAAGTTGAGGCTACTCTGTGAAACCAAGAAAAAAGGTGGTTTATAAACTGGAGTATTAAGCTTAGTGGTAGAGTGCTTGGCTGATATACATAAAGCTCTTGGTTCTGACCCCAGACCAGAAGAAAGTGGCTTATTCTACAACCAGTAGCGTTCCATCAATTTCCTTTGGAGAATTTTTTGAGTGTGTATTTTTAAAAAAATATTTTATTTTTATTTTATGTGTATGAGTGTATTGCCTGCATGTAGGTAAGTGCACCTGTGTCGTGCAATGCCTGTGGAGGACAGAAGAGGCCATCGGATCCCCTGGAACTGGAGTTATGGACAGTTGTTAGCTGCCATGTGGGTGCTGGGATTCAAACCTGGGTCTTCTGCAAAAACAACCAGTGTTCTTAACCACTGAGCAATCTCTCCAGCCCCTTGAGTATAGAATTAAGCTTCAACATGACAGTAAACTACTGCTTGTTCTGATGAAGTCTACCTGAATCAAAGAATGGACAACAAGCCAGGAGTGGTGTGGTACATGCCTTTAATCCCAGCACTGGGGAGGCGGAGGCAGGCGGATCTCTGTGAGTTCAAGGCCAGTCTGGTTTACATAGTGAGGTCCAGACCAGCTGGGACTACAGGGAGACCCTGTCTCAAAATGACCAAAATAATATAAATAAATAAAGAAATAAATAATAAATAAATAAATAAATAGATGGACAATAAAAATCAGGAGTTGAAATCCTCAAGACTCCAGGAATCTTCTCATACTGGCAGAACTCCTGAATAGAAGCCAGGCAGGCAGAAGTCTAGAGTATCCTAGTGACACTGTTCTTTTTACACATAGATGTGAATCCTCAACAGTTTGTTATTGTGCAGCTATTGATTGCTGTAGGTCTCTCCTTGTGGAGATATTCCCTTGAAGGTAGGTAAGGTAATGATTCTCCCCTGAACCTCCTTCTGCTATGATGACCAACTGGACATAGGACTTTCAGTGCTAAAATTGTGACAGCCCTGAGCAAACCAGGATAGTCAGTCACCCTAAGAATAGACTTTATCACTGTCAATCACATAGCAAGAATTTAGAAAGACTAAACAAGGAAAAGAGGACTGGGAGCATGTTAATTTTGAGTCTGTCATCTCTTAGGCACACAATTTTGTAAAATCTTGGTAGACTCTGGAGAACAAAATAGGCCCTGAGACACAGGCATGCATGGTAGTTAAGATCTTTCAGTTTCTTTTTTTAAATTTTCTTTTTCCCAGTCCTTAAGAAGGCTGAGGCAAGTCTGAGGTAAAACTAGGCTACATACTTTATGAAGGAGACAAAGCAAACTTCGTTAAGTTTTCCAGAGTTATGAAGGTGTCACCCAGTAGTAGAGCACTTGCTTGGTGTACGCTACACTCTGGGTTTCATTTCCCAGCAAAAAAGAAAACAAATTGCTGGGCACTGTGGCACACCCCTGTAATCCCAGTATTTAGGAGGCTAGGTAAGGTATTAGTGCTATGAGTTTGAGGCCACTCTGAGTTACATTGTGAGTACCAGCCCAGCCAGGGCTGCATAATGAGACCTTATCTCAAACTAAATAGAAAAAAAAAAATGAACAAGGAAAATGTAACAAAGTTCCTGCTGTTCAATGACTTAGAACTGGTTTCCAATCAACTCACCACTGTCCACACCCACCCCAATGACATCCTTGTACTCATTAAATTCACTCTCCTGCCAAAGGGACCCACTCTTCACAGGGAAGATCATGATGAGAAACAGCACTTGGAGTGGAAATAAACAGCAGATAATAACCCATAATTGTTTTTAATCTTGAGGATGACTCACCCTCAGTTTATTTCCACATTTCTTCTGTCATCAGCTGTTAATTTCTCTACTTTGAAAATCACCAGATTAACACTGCCAAAGACAGGTATGAAATGACCCAAGAGAACAATTCTGAGGTATCACGTGGTGAGAGACCGAGAATTAGGAACAAGACAATCCTCAGGAAAATTTTTTTGTCCCAGCAAAGGCACCAATGTGTGAACTTCATTTACACTTTTATTATCCCAATCAGGTTATTTTTACAACAGTGAAATATCAAAACAGGACTTGTTAGGGGGTTATTTCTTTCGTGGGATGTTCTATCACTCTGCATATAAGATTCTAAGGTCTAACTCCAGAATTTATTTCAAGCCAACCAATGATATTCTTTTTACTTCTGCTTTTTAAATTTTTATTTATGTGTATGAGTGTTGTGCCCACGTGTATGTAAGTGCACCCATGTCATGAAATGCCTGCAGAGGTCAGAAGAGGGCATCAAATCCTCTGAAACCAGAGTTATGAATGGCTGTCAGTCACCATGTTGGTGTTGGAAACCAAACCTGGATCCTCTGGAAGAACAGCTAATACTCTTAACTTCTGAGCCATCTCTCCAGCCCCTACTAGGTTTTTTAAAAATATTTTTATTTTAGCTGGGTGTGGTGGCACATGCCTTTAATCCCAGCACTTGGGAGGCAGAGGCAGGCAGACCTTTGTGAGTTTGAGGCCAGCCTGGTCTGCATAGCCAGTTCCAGGTCAGCTGGGACTACAGGGAGACCCTGTCTCAAAAACTGGGGGGCTGGAGAGATGGATCAGTGGTTAAGAACACTGGTTGTTCTTGCAGAGGACCTGGTTCGAATCCCAGTATCCACATGGCAGCTAACAACTGTCCTTAACTCCAGTTCCAAGGGATCCGACAGCCTCTTCTGACCTCTGAAGGCATTGCATGACATGGGTGCACTTACCTACATGCAGGCAATACATGCATACACATAAAATAATAAAATTTTTTTAAAAAATTTATTTTATGTGTATGTTTATGTGTCTGTGTGATCGTATGTCACCTGTTTGTGGATGACTATGGAGACCAGAAGAGGGTGCTAGATCCCTTGGAGCTGGAGTTACAGGTGGTTATGAACCACCCCACATGGGTGCTGGGAACTGAACTCAGGTCCTCTGCAAGAACATGAAGCACTCTTAACCACTGAAAAATCTCTCCAGTTCTACTTCCTTTTTAAAATAAAAATATTAATTTTGGGCTGGAGAGATGGCTCAGTGGTTAAGAGCACTGACTGCTCTTGCAGAGGACCCGGGTTCGATTCCCAGCACCCACATGGCAGATATGAACCATCCTTAACTCCAGTTCCAGGGGCATCCGAAGCCCTCTTCTGACCTCCATGGCATTGTATGACACAGGTGGACTCATATACATGCAGGCAGTACACTCATACACATAAAATAAAAATAATAAAAATATTAAAAACAGTAAAATAAAAAATTGGTTTTATTTTACGTGTACGAGTGTACTGCCTGCATGTATGTAAGTGCACCCATGTCGAGCAATGCCCGAGGAGGTTCAGAAGAGGGTGTCAAATTCCTGTGGAGCTAGAGTTATGGATGGTTGTTAGGAAACCAACCAGAGTCCTTTGCAAGACCAGCTAGCGCTCTTAACCAATGAGCCATCTTTTTAGCCCCTGTAATACTTTTTTTTTAACCATCTAAATTGTCCCCTGCATAAGGTCTTTCAAGACATTTTGATCATAAGAAACACAACCTAAGACAGATCTGGTAACATAGGTCTGTAACCCCAGCTACTGGGAAGGCTGAGGCAAGAGGATCAAAGGTTCAAGGTCTTGGCTAGTGAGTTCAAGGCCAGCTTGGGCAACAAGTGACAAAATGAAAACAAAAGAAAATTTCAAAGTAAGCTAAGGCTATAATGTAGTGGTAGAGCACTTGCCTAGCATACTGAAAACTCTAAATTCAGCCTGGTGTGGTGGCACACACCTTTGATCCCAGAGCTTGGGAGGCAGAGGCAGCAGATCTCTGTGAGGTGGAAGCAAGCCTGGTCTACATAGGGAGTTCCAGGCCAGCTGGGGCTTCAGGCTGGCAAGATAGCTCAGCAGGTAGATGCTTGCCATCAAGCCTGATGACCCGAGTTCAATCCCTGGGGTCCACATGGTGGAAGGAGAGAACCAACTCTCACAAGTTGTCTCTGACCTCCACACACACACCATGACACTCATGCATCCCCTACTCTTCCTAAAATAATAATCAATGTAATAAAAAAGAGAAAAGATGATCTAGGTAGATACGAACTACCTAAACCTAGGAGACTTGCCCTTGCCCATGGAACTGCCAGTCTTTAGATCCTTTGTATGGCATAAACTTGCTATTTTACCTATGTTTCAACTATCTTCTTCAAGATGACTGGATCCTTAACCCCATTTAGCCTCTAACTCTGACTCAAAGCTGAGAAAGTCTAGAGTCCATATGTTTCCCTCTATATCTAGACACAAATCAGTCCAGTTAGTGCACACTAAAGATGGAGGCTTGAGATCCTCCTCAATGTTCTCCTCGAAACAAACCCACAAATGCAGACCAGCAGTTCCTTTTTTCTCAGTTCTAGTGATCAGAACCTCCCACATGCGAAGCAAGTGGCTCATTTACTTATATTAGATCATTCCTCAACTAAATTCATTCTTCACATTCTTCATATCTTCCTACATAAGAAAAACTAAAATAATTCACAATACTGGGAATGGTGGCATTTATGTGTAATCTCAGCACTTGGGAAGTTTGGTTTTGTTTTTTGTTTTTTTGGGGTTTTTTTTTTTTTGGTCTTTTTGAGACAGGGTCTCCCTATGGCCCCAGCTGTCCTGGAACTCACAGAGATCTGCCTGCCTCTGCTTCCCAAGTGCTGGGATTAAAGGTGTGTGCCACCATGCCCGGCTAAGCACTTGGGAAATTGAAGCAGGGGGATTGTGGCAAGCTCCATGCCAACCTGGGCTATATAGTGAGCACCAGGCTAGCCTGGGCTGCATACTAAAACTGTCTCAAATAAACAAACCAGCAAAAACAATCAGTATAAACAAAAACTTTTCATTTGAAATTTCCTGATAATTGAAGCAAAAATTAAAAAGTTTGGTTATATGCTGTTTTTTCTTTACTATGATTTTGCTGTTGGTGACAAGGGAACTTTCGAATGAGTAGTACACAGCCTGGTGTTCATTGCATATGAGGGAAACACTGTCTTGGTTTGGGTTGACATATTTGCAAGGGCTAGCGTAAGTCCACCCTTCTAAAACAGATCAAATACCAACTATGACAAGTGTGCACACTCAGTCACGCTGGATGACAGAACTGCACTGGGCTGGTGAGGGGGAAAGTCTCCCTCCTCCTCCACCTTCCATACTAGGTAAAATGAGTGAGCACCAGCTCTTGCCGGGTGCGGTCAGCCTCTAAGTCCAGGGACTCCATTTGCTCATAGTCCTCCTCAGGGGGCTGTTCCATGGGTCCAGTCACTGGAGAGGACCAAACATCCATCCCGTGCTCCAGGGAAATGTTGTGGAGGACACAACATGCCAAGATGATATGGCTGGACTTCTCTGGTGAGTATTGCAGTGCTCCCTTTGATCCATCCAGGCAGCGGAAACGGGAGCAGAGGGTGCGCAAAGTCTTCTTGATCACACTGTGAGTTGTAGAATGGGCTCTGTTATAGCGATATTCTGCTGGAATTTCAGGAATAGGAAGTGGAGTCATGAGCCAGGAACGCAGAAAGAAAGAACTGTCACCTGTGTGGAAAGCCAAAGAGATAAGTGATTATGAATGGACTACAAACAAAAAGAAATTCTAGGTTGGGGAGATGGCCAGGGGTTAAGAACATTTGCTGCTCTTGCAAAGGACCTGAGTTTAGCTCCCAGAACCTACACAGCAGCTCACAACTGCCTATAACTCCAGTTCCAGGGGATCCAACACCCTCTTCTGGCTTCTTTGGGTACCAGGCATACACATGGTACACATGCATACATGTGGGCCAAACACTCCTGCACATAAAAATAACATACACATAAAATGAAAATAAATTTTTTTTACAAAAAGCTAAATTCAGGCTAGTGTTGTAACACATGACTGTAATCTCAGTGATCAAGAGGCTGAGGCAGAGCTGCCTCAAAGCTGCAGGCTGGCCTGAACTACACAGTGGAACCATCTCACAAAACAAAAACAGCAAAAAAGGAAGTGAAATTTGGAAACACATACTGAAGAAGGACAAGAAAATAATAGCCTCTGGAGTCAAAGCATACATAAAATCCAAGGGAAAAGCACTACATTAAGAAACCAAGCATGAACTAGAGACTGGAGAGATGGCTCTGCAGTTAAAAGCACTGGCTGCTCTTGCAGAGGACCTGGGTTCAGTTCCCAGCACCCACATGGTGGCTACCAACCACCCATAACTCCAGTTCTAGAGGATTCAACGTCCTCTTCTGACCTCTTTGGGCACTGCACACACATGGTGCACTTATATACATGCAGGCACAACACTCATACACATAAAATAAATTTTTTTTAAAAGCAAGAATGGGGGCTGGAGAGATGGCTCAGTGGTTAAGAGCACTGACTGCTCTTGCAGAGGACCAGGGTTCGATTCCCAGCACCCACATGGCGGCTACGAACTCTCCTTAACTCCAATTCCAGGGGAATCTGAAACCCTCTTCTGACCTCTGAGGCATTGCACGACACGGGTGCACTCACTTACATGCAGGCAATGCACTCATACACATAAAATTAAAATTTAAAAAAGAAATGCATTGAAAAAAAAAAAAAGCAAGCATGAACTAGATGCTGCCATGACCATACAAGTGCACTGCTTCACCTGCGGCAAGATTGGCAATAAGCAAGAAGCCCACCTGGGCTACTGAAGGCCAAGTACACTGAAGAGGATGCCCAGGGCCTGAAGCACTCCTGCTGCTGCCACATGCCATTAGCAATAGGGACCTGACTAAGAAGCCACTCAGCTATTCACCTCTGGAGAAGTGACTGCTGGAGTTCACCCTCCTGCTCTGGTGGCCATGGCAGTCTGTGTCAGGCTGAGTCATAAGTGAAGTGGGTGCAGTGGCTGGCTATGGCCCTGTGGCTGAGTATCCCTATATTCTGGAAGGAAATGTCCAGTAAAAATCTTTGAAGAACCACCAAAAATAAGGAAGGAGGGAGGGAAGGAACCATTGACTGGCCCTTCCCCCTCTCCCTGTAGTTCACTCTGCCCACAGTTCTTCATCTTCTTCATTCCCCCCCCCTTTCTCCATTGTGGGGGCATGAATGTAAAGCCCAGTGTGAGTGGCATAAATCACTAATCTCTGTGCTCGGGAGGCTGAGGCAGGAAGATCACCAGGTTGAGGCTAGCCTGGGCTATATAGTGAGAACCCATTTTAAAAAAAATATGCATGCAGTTCAGGAGCATAAGGTAAACTCGGCTGGGAATATCCTTGATTAAAATCAGTGGAGGAAAAAGCTGTGAGCTGAGGAAAGCCAAATCTGAAAGTGTCTGAAGGAAGGAGGAATAAGCACTGACAGGAATACAATACAATTCTTGGATTCGTTTTTCTAAGTGGGTTTTTTTGTTTTGTTTTGTGTGAGACAGGGTCTCCCTGTAGCCCCAGCTGTCCTAGAACTCACTATGTAGACCAGGCTGGCCTTGAACTCACAGAGATCTGCCTGCCTCTGCCTCCCAAGTGCTGGGATTAAAGGCATATGCCACCACACCCGGCTTTAGTGGGGTTTTTTGTTTGTTTTTTAAACTTTGTTGGGGATGTAACTCATGGCCTTACACGTTAGGAAGCATTTTGCTTCCGAGCTACAGCTTGCAGCCCTTGAAATTTTCTTTATTTTCCGTTTATTTATTTATTTGAGACATGGTCTCACTATGTAACTCTAGCTGGCCTGGAACTTGCTATGTAGATCAGGTTGGCCTCAAACTCACAGAGATCCGACTGCCTCTGCCTTCTGAGTGCTGGAATTAAAGGCATGCACCACCACACTTAGTCGTTCTCTTTTTTTATATTTTCTCTTCTTGAGACAGGATCTCATGTACCTCAGGCTAGCCTGGAACTTTTCCTGATCCTTCCTCCACTTTCCAAGTGCTGGGATTATAGATGTGCATGCCACCATTCCCAGTGAATTTTCAACTTCAGAGATACTGTTCTTTAATAAAAGGCTTAATAAAACTGCTCAAACAGGGTAGCAATCCTACATAATCTCTAAAGAGGAAACATTCAAGAGAGAAAAAGAATCCTACCAAAATCACTTGAGGAAAATTTCAAGTCTGAATGCATGACCTAGGGATTCCAGACCTTTCCATGGCACAATAATTTATCCTCTCAGTGCGGAGAAGACAACAGAAGTCCCCGTATCTGTAGCAGCCCCCAGAATGCTGGCGTTCTGCATTCTTAGATACTCACTCACTATAACCAGGCTTTTGTAACAGAGGAACTAGACAGATGTGAATATAATGAAGCAGAGTAATAATGAGAGGGAAATGAAATCAAAAGTTAATTCAGCCGGGTGTGGTGGTGCACGCCTTTAATCCCAGCACTTGGGAGGCAGAGGCAGTCAGATCTCTGTGAGTTCAAGGCCAGCCTGGTCTACATAATGAGTTCCAGGACAGCTGGGGCTACAGGGAGACCCTGTCTCAAGAAGACCAAAAAAAAAAAAAAAGTTAATTCAAATAATACATACCAGGCATTTCCCTAAGTGACTTCCTTATCAAATGATTCTTGGAAGTCCTAACAAAAACGAACAAAATCGGGGAGCAAAGTCCTAACCCAACAGCATTTTCTAGAATGTTTCATTGTCCTGACTCATCACCTCTGACAAATAAAGCAACTCACACAGAGGTGCAACTTCTTATAAATCCCTTACAGACAATGGGCCCTAGAGAACCAGCTCAGTCACTGTACTCCTGACCCACCATCAAGTTCAGTAAACAGTTGGGACTGCTCAGACAGAGCTGGCCACTGTTCCAGAAAAAATAAAAGGCTTCTTTCATTCAGGAGCTTATGTATCTAAGACTGGATTAACTGAAAATAACTAAGATGTCTCACAAATTTTTAAGGTTTATATTTAGCTGACTTCTCCCTTTTGAGACAAAGTCTCATTCTGTAGCTCAGACTGACCTAGAACTCCCTATGTAGCCCAAACTGGCCTTGAATTCATAGCAATCCTCCTGCCTCAGCCTCTCAAGTGCTGGTATTACAGGCATGAGCCATCATATCTGCAGTTTTCCCTTTTGTTTTGTTCCTTGAAACAGGGTCTCAAGAGGTTCAGGCTCTTGAACTTCTGATCTTGCCTCCACCTTCCAAATGCTGGGATTACAGGTATGCACCAACACACCCACCATTTTACTCTTTTAAATGAACTCATTCTTAGTAAATACTAAATTTTAAAAATGGATGGCTCAAAAAAAGAAAAAAAATGGATGGCTCATGGTGTTTATTAGGAAGCAAACTAGGATGCTAGCCATTACACTCCCTTGTAATCAGATAGCAATAAGGCAATTTTGAAGAGAAAAAAAATAGATGTTCAGCTGGCTGGAGGGATGGTTCAGTGGTTTGAACACTGGCTGCTTTTGTGGAGGACCCAGGTTTGGTTCCCAGCACCCACATAGCAGCTAACAACCATTTGTTAGCTGCAGTTCCAGAGGGATCTGACGCCCTCTTCTGGCCTCTTCAGGCATTGCATGACATGGGTACACTTACATGCAAATCATTCATACACACAAAATAAAAATTTTTTTTTAAAATTTATAACTCACTGAACACCTCCTATGTAGTAGGAAATGTGATAGGCACTTTGGGGCTCAGAGCAAGACCCTGTCTCCAAAATCAAACAGGGGTCAAGGCAAGATCGCTCAGATAAAGCACTTGCCACATATGCCTGACAACCTTAATTCAACCCCTGAAACCCATGCAAAGGTGTGAGAGCATCAATTCCACAAAGTTCTCCTCTGATATCCCCACGTACACTGGGGCTTGCATGTACCCCCACATACATCACACACACACACACACACACACACACACACTAATAAAAATGCATTTTTTAAAAATGTTTCATAGTCATTAGCTGGTTATACTTCAAGCACCACTAGAAAACAGACACTTGGGAGGGGATTAGGATCAGATGCTGAATGGATTATAATTGCTTATATGATCCATAAGACATTCTGGGAGATTTTCCCCAAAGCTGCTAAACAGCCCTAGTCCAAGAGCTGAAGAAATAAAGAACTAGAATCGAATAGTTTAAGGGAGTAGGTATATTTAGAGAAGTTTAGGTAATACACCCTGAAGGGATAGCTGAGAATAAGGACAGGAAGGGATAGTTTAAAAAGGAACTTAAGGGGCTGGAGAGATGGCTCAGTGGTTAAGACACTGACTGCTCTTACAGAGGACCCGAGTTCGATTCCCAACACCCATATGGCTGCTACGAACCGTCCTTAACTCCAGTTCCAGGGGAATCTGAAGCTCTCTTCTGACCTCTGAGGCACTGCACAACACAGGAGCACTCACATACATGCAGGCAATACACTTGTACACATAAAATAAAAATAGTAAAATATTAAAAAAAAAAAAAAAGGAACTTAAAGTGGAGTGTGATGGTATGGACCTGTAATTCCAGCTACTTGGAAGGATGAGGCAAGATGATCAGGGGCTTAAAGCCAGTCTGGGAAAGAATAGGACACCCATCTCAAAGCAACAAAACAGTCAGGCTTGGCGCACGCCTTCATCCCGGCACTTGGGAGGCAGAGCCAGGAGGACCGCTGTAAGATCGAGGCCAGCCTGGTTTACATAGTGAGTTCCAGGCCAGCTGGAGCTACAAGGAGACCTGGGCTCAAAAAAATAAATAAATAAAAAATAGAAAACACAACAAGAAATAACAAATATTGTGTGCCTCAGTTTCCTCTTTTGTAAAAATGCTGATATAACTTTTTTTTTGTCTTTTTGAGACAGGGTCTCCCTGTAGCCCCAGCTGGTCTGGAACTCACTATGTAGACCAGGCTGGCATCGAACTCAGAGATCTGCCTGCTTTTGTGTGTTAAGTGCATGTAGGTACGGATACCTGCAGAGGCCAGAAGAGGGCATCGGATCCCCTGGAACTAGAGTTACAGGCAGATTATGAGCTGTCCATTGAGTGCTGGGTTAAAGGCATGTGCCACCACACCCAGCTACTTTTAATTGAGACAGGGTCTCATCTATCACAAGCTGGCTTCAAGCTCCCCAAGTAGCAGAGGATGACCTTGAACTTCTTATCCTCCTCTCTTCACTTTCTGAGTACTGGCATTACAGGTATGCACCAACATACCTAGTTCATGCAGTGCTGGGGACTGCACCCAGGGCGTCATAGGCATTAAAGGCTTTTGCCACCATGCCTGGCCTGGCACCCCTTTTACTTTTGAGACACAGTCTCTCCCTATATATCTCAAATTGGCCTGGAACAATTTATGAAGCTCAGGCTGAGCCTGAAGCTTGAGATTCTTCTGCCTCCGCCTCCCCAGTGCTGAGATTACAAGTGTGTATCACAACACCCAGCTTAAATGCTGATTCAATTTTTAAAAAATGTTTTATTTTTACTTTATGTGTATGAGTATATTGGTTGCATGTATGTAAGTGTATTCATTTTGTGAAATGCCTACAGAGGTCAGAAAAGGGCATCAGATCCCCTGGAACTGGAGTTACAGAGAGCTGTTAGCAGCCATGCGGATGCTGGGAATCAAATCCAGGTCCTCTGCAAGAAAAACCTGTGCTCTTAACCACTGAGCCATCTCTCTAGCCCAGATTCAGTATTTTAAATTCATTTTTATGTGAATGAGTGTTTTGCCTGCATGTATTTACACCCATGTTGTGCAATATCTACAGAGGCCAAAAGAGGGCATGAGATCCTTTAGAACTGGAATTGACTGCCATGTGAGTGTTGGGAAGGGAATTCAGGTTCTCTTCTAGAGCAGCCAGTGCTTTTAACTGTTGAGCTATCTCTCCAGCTCCTTAAATGTTGATTTCTTAAAGATTAAAGCTCAAGGCTAGGGGTTTAAATAAGGCAAAGGTCCCAGCACAGCAACAATAATAAAAATAATGATAATAATGAAAGAAAAAAAATTAAGGCTGAGTTCTCACCTGAAGTTTCAAAGAAACCAGGATACTAGGCTCATAAAATCTCCTATTTCGTCCATTCTACTATATAATTTTTCTATTATGTAGAAGATTTATATCTGCAAACTTACCTAGAAGCCAGCTGTCTTTGTGCATTCCAGCCTCAAACCGACTGCTTAGAGAAGACTGCTGCAGCACAGCATAGTCTTGTAGGCTGCCTGGCCAGTTTGTCTCCACAGTCATTAGTGCCCCTCTGATGTCACATACCACCAGACAGTTTAAAGAATGCAGACCTTTGCGGTTTACATAAGAAAGATCTTCAGCATTTGGTGCCTTGATTGCCACATGGATACAGTCAACCACTCCTATCACCCCTGGCATCCCTGCTAACCCATAGAATTCATCCTTTAGAGACTGCACAGAAGCTTCATCAGCTGGAAAGTGAATGAACTGTGAGGCCCGTTCCACAAGTGCTTCAGTGACATTGGCAACACAACGACTCATAGAGGCTTGACTGATCCCTATCGCATCTCCCATCCGAGTCTGAAAGGAACCAGAGGTATAGAAGCCCAGTGCTGCAAGGATTTGTGTCTCTGGGCCAATAGCCCTGGATCTCTGAGTAGGTCGACAAAGACTTGCCCCCAAGAGCTCCACCAAGTAATAAATGAACTGTCGAGGAAATCCGTACATGGACATCAAGTAGTCATCTGTCACATCATCCAGCTTAAACCGGTCCAATGTCCGGTGACCTCGGCCATACAGCAAGAGATCACAGTCAAGCACTGTAATTGGTATAGCCATAGCAAAGGTGATGGCTGTATCTTCTGCTTTCTCTGAACTTTACCGAATGAAGATGCTGGCACAAGAAGGAAGTGTCAGAATTCAACAATTATCAGTTAAATGATCTGACATTTATACTTCTCTCTGTAAGTGTTAAAAGAAAAAATAATTAGAAAACGACCAAAGACATTAGCCCTGTACCTGTAATTCTCAAGTTTTCTCCACTAACTGCTGCACTACAAATTTGGTCCAGTTTAAACACAATGGGAGAATCAATCGTTCATTTAAGGTCTTGCATTTCAACTGATGGCGCAACTATTCACAGGGTAAAAGAGGTCTATCAATGTGGGTAAGGAAACAACTGACAAGTCATAACCACCTTAATGAAAGATAGGTTTGTTATCCAGAGTCCTATGGCTCCTCCACCTTAGAAGTGCAAGACAGATGTGGGGGTGCTCAAACCAGTCTAACAGGGGAACAAAGAAAAACCAAGAGTCCATGACTGTGTCTGGAGACCCACAATGTCCCGAGTCTGGGGGCTAGGAAGATTGGCCAGCAAGAAAGGAGAGGCTGAGGGAACTAGGTTTGGGGGCCCTGGCCTTATTTTACAACACACCTTCAAAACAGATTATCAAGGGCCAGCATGGTGACTCAGCAGGTGAAGGTGCTTGCAGGTGACAATCTGAGTTTGGATTCCTGGGCCTCACACGGTGGAAGGAAAGAACCAACTCTCGCCAACTTGTCATCTGACCTCCACATGCATACCAGGGCAATACCCCTCCTCCAATACATACATGTAATTTTTTTAAAAAAGGAAATTGATTCTGGGAAAAAAAAATATCTCTAAGCTAGGCATGGTGGCTCACTCCTGACACTCAGCTCTTGGGAGGTGAAGGCGGGAGGATCAGGAATTCGAGGCCAGCTTGGACTACAGGAGCCCCGGTCTCAAGCAAACTCCCAAGCCAGGAATGCTGGCCTGTAATGCTAGAATCCGAGTTCTAAGCCAGCCTGAGCTACACTGTAAGACCCTGTCTCAAAATAGCAAAAGATACCGAAGTCTGAGGGCTCGGCCACACAGTCAGCGCGGGCAGGTCTCCACCTCTCCGGTAGCTGCCAGGAACACACTCCGCCCACCCCAGCCGGAGCCGCCCCGTCCGGAACCTGAGGCCTCCCACCGGCCGCCACGGAGCGCAGCAGCAGCACCGCCCCTCCACGTTAGCGCCCGCCCCACCTCGGCTACAATACCGCGGCCGCCGCACCTGCGCTTCGCTGCCGCATATTCCACACAAAGCCCCAAAACCTCCCTCTCTAAAAGTTCCCTTTCAGCCCACTTTCATTTCTCTTAAGAGGATTAAAAAAATTGATTAAAAGATTTGCCCGAGGAAGAAACATACTTTTTAAAATGGAGACTTTGAGGTACCAAAGAACTAAATAGGGCGTCTGTGCTGTAACGAAAGTGCAGCTGAGGTTAGGCAGCTACATTTTCCCCACAACGCTCTGTCTCCCCACCGCCTTCACCGAAGCGGATGAAAACAAACACTAAGGATGGCTGCGTCGGGCAGCAACTGGCTGCTGGGTTAGGGCAGGAGAAATCCCTTGATGCGTGAAGGGAGCCCTGAAGAAGACCACTCGACGTGAGTGCGGCAACTTGCCCAGGTTGGGGAGCCGGGAGCCTCTTGAAGCGTGACGTGTCTGTCTCCCTGCGATCTCTGCTGTCACTGCCGCCTCGGAGCGCGGAACCCCAGCCAGCAGGCGCGGTTGGCCCGCCCCAGGCCCCGGCCTCCGTAATGCGAGCCCGGAGCCACTCTCTGTGCCGTAGCTTCCTAGGTACTCACTTTGGGGGGTATACCCCCCGGGTTTCTCAGCGCCCCCCAGGTGGGGGGTTATGGATCTGCGGCCCCTCGGCCTCCTCCGTGTGGGCCAGCGGAGGTTCAGTCCCCTACGAACCCCCTTGTCTTCTCCGGGAGGTTTGGTTGGTGTAGGCCCCGTTGGCTCTTGATTGTTCCCAGCCTGTACAGGTGTCCCCAGAGCTTTCCTCTTTGCTTTCTTAGCTCTTTGGGATGAGTCATAAAAGGCTTATTGGAGATAATTTGTGGGGTCACAACTCCGGGGTTGGGTACCAATATGAGTAAAGGAGATTTTCATTCAGTCAAAAATATTCGCGTGTAGGTGAGGGTGACTGTTGACTAGTGAAAAAAGGGACCCAAGGTTCACGACTATCTTCTTACTGGCAGTGGGACGACCTGTGGAAACCTGCGATCCATTCTCATTAAATAAATCTCAGGGTAAGTGGCTAAGCGCCTTCTTGGGCTCATCAGTAACACATCTCAGTTTTCACTTTCCTCCTCAGCACCAAGTTAGTCAGATCAGTTCAACCTCAGTGTAGCATTTCACTTCCAGAATTTCTTTCTTTTGAAGACAAAGGTCTCCCTGTAGCCACAGCTGTCCTGGAACTCACTATGGAGACCAGGCTGCCCTCAATCTCAAGAGATCTATCTGCCCAGCCTCTGCCTCCCAAGTGCTGGGTTTAAAGGCGGGCCACCACACCAGGCTCAGAATTTCTTTTTTTCCCTTTTATTTTCCCCCCAGGTGGACAGTCTTAAGTTGCCCAAGTTGGCCATAAAGTCCTGGGCTGCAGCTATCCTCCCGTCTGAAACTCCTGAGTAGCTGAGAATACAGATTCAGTCTGTCACCAGGCCTAGCTGGGGAATTTTGAAGCAAGGTTTAACTATGTAGCCCAGGCTTGCCTTGAACTGGTGGTAGTCCTCCTACCCCATCCTCATGAATGGTGAGATTATAAGTATATGCCACCATGTCCAACTTTTGGAATCCTGTTACTTTACATATCTGTGTGTGTATATGCTATGTATATATGCATATAGTATATATATTTATACACACATATATAGTGTGTACATATCCTCAATGCTAGGGATGTAATCTAGCACTTTGCTCATGCTAGGCAACCAGTCTACTACAGAGTTATATCTACACTAGAACTTGCTATGTAGACCATGCTGACCTTGAACTATCAGACATCTGCTCTCTGCCTCCCCAATTGCTGGAATTTGAGGCATACACCACCATGCTCAGCCCAACAGTACTTTAATATACAGTGGGTGATGTATAAATGATGAAGCTAAAATTTAATCAATTTTTGTTGTGTTTTGTTTTTGTTTTGAAACAGGGTATAGCCCTAGCTGGCCTCCACTCCCTGGGTAGTTCAGGGTGACCTTGAACTCCAGATCCTCCTACCTCTTGAGTGCTGGGAGATCAGAGGTGTGTACCACCACACTCAGTGCTTAAAGTATGGGTTTTAAATCTTTCTTTTGAAAAATATTTTATTTATTGGGGCTGAAGAGATGGCTTAGCGGTTAAGAGCACTGACTGCTCTTGCAGAGGACCAGTTTCGAGTCCCAGCACCCACATGGCAGCTATAAACCATCCTTAACTCCAGTTCCAGGAGAATCTGAAGCTCTCTTCTGACCTCCGAGGCGTTGCACCACACGGGTGCACTCACCTACATACAGGCAATATATTTATTATTATTTTTATGTGTTTGTGTGTATTGCCTGCATGTAGGTGAGTGCACCCGTGTCGTGCAACTTTATTATTTTTGTATGTGTGAGTGTATTGCCTGCGTGTAGATGAGTGCACCCATGTTGTCAAATGCTCTTGGAGGACAGAAGAAGCTGTTGGATCTCCTGGGAGTGGAGTTACGGGCAGTTGTTAGCTGCCATGTGGGTGCTGGGATACAAAGCAGGGTCTTCAGATACAGCCAGTGTTCTTAACCACTGAGCCATCTCTCCAGCCCAGGTTTAAATCTTTAAAAGTCTTATAAGTCGTTGAAATGATCTTAAATTCATTTTAAATACTTACCTGCTTTTTCATGGTAGAGGACATCTGGGCCAGTTTGTTAAAAAAGTCCTCTGAAGGCCAGTGTAGGCTGCACAGCCAGTTTGTCTTGCCTAATGGTTACCCTCAAGTCCTTGGTCATAGGAGAAGAATGCAAACCTGAATCACTACTACTTAGAACAGCTATTAATATGTATTTTGTGAAAGTTAAAGGTCAATCAATAATGAACAGAAGTCATAACAATTACAATTTGGAAAATACTGCTTCCATTTTGGAGTCACACATGAGTTAAAAGTCATTTTACATTCTAATTTCAATTCCCCCCCTCCCCCTTTTTGTCTTTTTTGAGACAGGTTCTCCCTGAAGCCCCAGCTATCCTGGAACTATGTAGACCAGGCTGGCCTTGAACCCACGAAGATCTGCCTGCCTCTGACTCCCAAGTGCTGGGTTTAAAGGCGTGTACCCCAGGCCTGGCTGCTTTTTCCTTTTGTATTGCCTATAGCTATTAGGCCATTTGGAGATAACTTAAAATAGTGTTAAGATTAGATGCTTTGTTTTAAATAACCCTAAAGATGTGTCCCATCCCCCACTCTCAGAATTTTTTAGCAACTCTCCCTTGGCCTAGTTAATTTTTTCAATATTTTCAATTTTTTTTTTTGTAGCACCTACTGGCCTAGAAGTTAATGAGGTCATTGTTCTGCCTCAGCCTCCTGACTGCTAGATTCTACACACTGACTACCATGCCAGGATGGATTATTTTTAAAGAGTTATTTATTTAGAGAAAGAGTGTGTAGACACAGAGAAAGAGTGTGTGCCCATGTTTACCCCCAAATAAGTAATGTAATTAAATTTTTTTCTTCAGTGTTTTACTTATTTTTACTTTATGTGTATGAGTGTATTGCTTGTATACAGGTTAGTGCACTCAATGTTGTGTAATGCCTGCAGAGGTCAGAAGAGGGCTGGAGTTAGAGACGGTCGTTAGCTGCCATGTGGATGCTGGTTAACAGCAGCTAAAAGCACTGCCTGTTCTTGCAGAGGACCGGGCAGGCATTGCCTGACATGGGTGCACTTATACACATGCAAGCAATACACTCATTCACATAAAATAAAAATAATAAAGAAAAAAAAAGAAGTATCTATGGAGCTTATTCTCTAGCCACCATCCCTCTTCTTACAAGGGTGGGTAGGGTTGAACTTTCCAGCCTGTAAATGCTTGGTCTTTCTGGTCACCAGCCCCAGCCTGAAGCTATGTAGGGCCCCACCTGTAAGGTACCTCATTAGTATAAACCCAGGTTTTACTGAAAAACTCTATTTGATTTTTTGTTTACATGACACAGGTGCATTTAACATCCATGCAGGCAATCATATACATAAAAAATAAAAATAATAAATTTTTTTAGAAAAGAAATGATATTTAGGATTATTTTATGACTAGTAACTCCACTTCTGAATGTATACTTAAGAGAACTGAAAGCAGGACTAAGACAGGTTCATTGCAGCATTGTTTATTATAGTTAAAGCATAGAAACAACTCATTTGTCCAGTTGGTAAATGGATAAGAAAGACATAGTATATTCATGTTATGTAGTATATTTAATCTTCAAAAGGAAGGAAATTATGTAATATGTCCTAGTTGGCATTAACTGTTAACTTGCCACAGCCTAGAATCAGCTACAAGAGTCTTACTTGAAGGCAGGTGTGGTGGCACATGCCTTCAAACTCAGAACTCGGTGAGTTCAAGGCCAGCCTGATCTATGTGGTGAGTTCCAGGCCAGCTGGGGACTATAGGGAGACCCTGTCTCAAAAAGAGCCAAAAAAAAATTTTTTTTAAAGTCTTACTTGAAAGATTAGCCTGTGGGAATATCTTGTGAGGGATTTTCTTGATTATTAATTGATATAGGACAGACCAGCCTACTGTTGGCTTTACCACCCTTAGGGAGGTGGTCTTGAACTGTATTAGAAAACTAGCTAAGGAGCTGGAAGTGGTGATCCATGCCTTTGGGGGGGGTGTCCTTTTGAGACAGGATCTCCCTGTAGTCCCCAATGGCCTGGAACTCGCTATGTAGACCAGGCTGGCCTCAAACTCACAGAGATCTGCCTGACTCTACCTCCCAAGTGCTGAGATTAAAGGCCGGTGCCTCTACCCCCAGCTAGAATAAAAGAAATTTTTTACAAAGCTAACTAAGCATGGTCTGAGGTGCAAGCCAGAGAGCAAGCCAGCAAGCAGTATTCATCCATGCTTTCTGCTGTACTTGGCTGTGGGTGAGTTCCCTGGTTGGAGGTAATGCTGCATGAACTAGCAAGCATTCCTGCCTTGAGTTCCTCAATAGATAGATAGATGTAATGAGGAAATGTAAGATAAACCCATTTCTCCTCCAAGTTACTCTTGGTCATGGTGTTTATCACAACAATGGAAAGGAAACTAGAGCACATGCTATCATATTAGTCAACCTTTAACATTATGCTAAGTGAAATAAGCCAATCACAGACAAATATTGTATGTGTCTACTTTTTAAATTTTCTGTGTATGAGTGCTTTTTCCTAACATGTATGTGTTTTGCCTACATGTATATAAGTGCACCTGTTACATGTAATCCCTGAAGTCAGAGTATTTTGGGTCCCCTGAAACTGGAGTTATGGGTGGTGGTTAGCTGCCGTATGGTACTGGGAACCAAATCCATATCCTCTGGAAGAGCACCCAGTGCTCTTAACCGCTGAGCCATCTCTTCAACAACAAGTCTACTTTTCTTTTTTTGTTTTGGTCTTTTTGAGACAGTGTCTCCCTATAGCCCCAGCTGTCCTAGAACTCACTATGTAGACCAGGCTGGCCTTGAATTCACAGAGATCTGCCTGCCCCTGCCGCCTGAGTGCTGGGATTAAAGGCATGAGCCACCACGCCCAGCAAGTCTACTTTTTCTAAAGACAGTCTTACTATGTAGCCTTGATTGGCCTAGAGATCCACCTGATCCTGCTTCATACGTGCTGGCATTTGCTCTCATGCCTGGCTAATATGGATATATTTAATACCACTGAACTGTTCAGTTAAAAATGGGCAAGGTTGGGGTTGGAGCGATGGCTCAGTGGTTAAGAACACTGACTGCTCTTGCAGAGGACCCAGGTTTGATTCCCAGCACCCATATGGCAGCTATGAACTGTCCTTAACTCCAGTTCCAAGGGAATCCAAAGCCCTCTTTTGACCTCCGCTGCATTGCACTACATGGGTGCACTCACATACATGCAGGCAATACACTCATATACATAAAAAAAATAATGGGCAAGATGGTAAATTTAACTTTTTTGTGTGGTGATAAGGATAGAATATAAAAAAGCCAACTTTCATGTTTCTGCTAGGCCAGCATTCTACTACTGAGTTGCACTCCAGCCAGGGTCATAATTGACTTCTGTTTTGTTTTTGTGGTGCTAGGGATA